GACGTTTCTTGAAAGTATGACGTCATAAGTGACGCCTATTTTTAGTAACAACATTAAAAACTTGCAAAGCAGTGTTCAAAACATTACAGACATTTTTGCTGCAGAAAAAGAATATGTATAGTGAAAACCCCATCTCAATTCGATAAAATGGCGTAAAGTTACAGCTAATAAAAGAAATCAAATTTTTCCCCACATGACCATATATGGTCAAAATTAGGGGGATTTTAAACGCGAGAACAATGAATGTATTGTCACAGGAGCAAGTTGCATAAAATAAAAATTGTAGTTTTTTCTACTTACTTTTTTTTACTTATGTGCCGCTATGACGCGTTTTCGTTACGAAATACGTCATTCTGACGTCAAAATGACGTATTTCGTGACGAAATACGTGTCATAGCACCACATACCCTAAGTAGAAAAAACTACAATTTTGATTTCATGTAACTTTGTCCTTGCTCCTGTTTCAATAATACCCCTAATTTTGACCATATATGGTCATTTGGGGGAAATTTGAATTTCTTTAATTAGCTGTAACTTTAGTCCTTTTTATCCGATTGAGATGGGGTTTTTACTAGAAATCATAAAATTCTATACAGAAAACTAATGTAAAATTTTTACCATTTCTTTCCTAAATTTTTGTTCTGATGCCAAATTTGGACATGATATATGACGTCACAACAGACGTCACATGGGATGAAAGAAAAACCAATAAACAGGTAATTTATCAAACTACTTCCCTGCCAAGTTTCGTCACATTCGATGCATTCTAATCCTGTCTATGGCGTAAAACTCTAAGTTTTGAGAGGTATTTGGGAGGAAAAGCCCTAGCAACCGACCACCGTGTTTTATCGATTTCCCATCCCCCTTTGCGAGTCATTCCCCCAGTCGAGGAAGGCAAGATGGCGGGCAGTGTGAGGAACACGGCAAATCTTTTCGAACAGCAAGACAGAGAGGAACTTTTAGAGCTTAATTCTTATAATTCAGGTGGATTTAGGTTCAAGGGAAGTGAAAGCAGCGCACTTTGTCTTCTAAACAAGCTGAGACTCGAAGGAGAAGGGGGTTTTTGCGACGTGACCCTGGAAGTGGACGGAAGACAATTGGCGACTCATCGATGTGTTTTGGCGGCAAGCAGCCAATTTTTTTATACCATGTTTCACAGTGGTATGAAAGAATCAAATCAAACACTCCTTAAGTTGCATTCAGTTAGTTTTGACTCCATGTCGCTCATTCTTGATTATTTTTACACGCGAGAGATTGTTATAAACTACGACATTGTGTTGGAGTTGCTAAACACTGCAAGCTTTCTTCTTGTCACTCCAGTGAAAAAGGCGTGCATTCAGATTCTCAACAATCAGCTTAGCATTGAAAATTGTTTCAGTATTCTACAAGTAGCCGAGCTGTTTTGCGCAAGTGAACTTGCGAAAAGGGCAAGCAACTATATTAAAGAGAACTTCTTCTCTGCGGTGAACAACGAAGAATTTGTTTCCATTTCAAAAAAGAGTCTGATTGACTTTATATCCAGTGATGAAATTCAAGTGGAAAGGGAGGAAGAGGTCTACCAAGCTGTACTGAAGTGGGTGAAGTATGATGAAGAAAATCGTATCTCAGATTTACCTGAATTACTAAGCCATCTCAGAGGGAAGTCCTTGCCTAAAGGATTCCTGAAATCGGAGATGTCGAAAGAGCCAATACTTGCTACCTTCTCCAGTCTGGTAGAATCTTCCAAGAGGAAGATCAAAACAAAATGGACAAAGAAGAAACGTGGAAAGCAAACAGGGGCAGATGACAAACCAGAAGCTGAGAGGACAAGAACGTCTACAGAATTGCATAATGTCATGATTGGGATTAGTTCTGCACCGTATGGTTCCCGCAAGGCATTCTGTTATGATTTGGACAAGGAAGAAACATTTGTTTTATCAGATTACCCCAATATGCATGTTGATCCAGAACTGGCAGTTATTGGACGGTCTCTGTACATAATAGGTGGGAGTAAACTTTTCAATGGTGTTCCCACAAGATTAAGTGC